CCGGCAGCGCGGGAGGGGGCCGCGTCCTGCTCCAGAGCCGTCCTCCCGTGCCACCGGAGCCAAGCTCCCAGGCGGGGACCCGTGGTGACGGTCTCCCCCCGTGCCCCAGGGCTGGCCTGAGTGGTGGTGGTTGGGGGTCCACTGGAGAAGTGGAATGCAGGGTAAGGAGGGGGTATCAGCCCAGATTTGCTTTCCTGCAGGCTGGCCCTGACCCTTCTCACTAGGTAGTGGGGGAGGGGTGCTCGGGTAGCGGGAGAGAGAAGACCCCCCTCCCCCACCTTCTCTGTCTGAAGTGAAGGCCATGGGGCGCAGTGTGAACTCAGGTGGGAGTACTGGGCAGGGGCACTGGCTCCTTCTTCCCAGGTCGCCCCGCCTCCTCCCTGCCCCTGAGTGGCAGACCCACGGGAAATCAAAATATGAGAGTTGGTTGTTGTGAAAGCGTGGGGGGAGGAGAGGGTGGGGGGCACCTCTCCTAGCCCCCTGTCCTGCTGCTGCCCCTTCAGTAGGGGATTCAGCACCTGCTTCTGGCTGACCAAGCAGATGCCCCCTTAGTGTCCCTCCACGAGGCTATGGAGGAGGTACCAACTTCAGCTTGCAATCAGATCTGCTGGGCACAGCCAGATCCCTCCTGCTCCCCAGTCCCCTGTGGAGGACAGTGGATGGTTTCCTCAGGCAAGAGCAGAAACCAGCTTCCCTGGCAAAGGGTGGGCTGGCCCAAGAGCCACCCAAGTCCAACCCTGCTGCTGGGCCTCTCCCTCCATTGGTGTATCCTGGCCAGGGTGGGTACTGCCACCGGTACAGTGCCGTTAAACGAGGCGGCGAATGGCAGAAGCAGAGCGGCTCTCTGCAGATCCAGCTGCAGGAAGAGCAGGGATATCTGCTGGGAGGCCCAGGGGGAGGGCGGTGACTCTGCGGCTGAGCGCTCCCTTGCCCTGGTCTGACCGCGGATTGCCCTTCAGCTCTCGGAAACTGCCCCATTTGACCTTTCTCGTCTTTCTCAAGAATGATCCCCTGAATCCGCCCTCTCTCTCTCCTCTGTGTCCCTTGCCTTTCGCTCAAGATGGAGGGGGTTCCGTTTACGTTCTGGACTTCCACCAACCTGCAGCTGCCAGGTTGGTGGAGTCCAGGACATCTCTGAAGGATGGTAACTGACAGCACACTTGGGGGGCCTCAAGGTTTGGATCAACATATGCCCAAGGTAGAAAACTCGACAGTTCTGTAGCATCCACAGTTTCCGTACTGTTGGGAGCCTGTTCAGAATGAAAACCTAATTCAAAACGGAGCCACCTTCAAACTCCTGGCCTCTGAAAGCCCTCCTGGGTTTTGTGCTGGAAGGGGCACCCCACTCCTCCCAGGTCAAAGGGCAGGGTCTTGGCAGGAGCAAGGGATCTGCAGCTGGTGTTAGTGCAGGAAGGAGTGACAGTGTGGTGGGTGTCTTCTCTCCTGGTTAGTGCCAAACTCCCTGGGCATGGAGCTGATGGCCCCAGCCACCCTCTACGCTCTGAACGGCTCTTCCATCCGGCTCAGCTGCACTTTCAATTCCTGCTACCAGGTAGACAAAAAGCAGTTCTCCCTGAACTGGACCTACCAGACCTGCCCTAACTGTACTGAAGAGACGGTGAGTGTCTGGACACATGGACTGGGACTGTCCCTGCTCCCCACACCTCGATGCTGCGTGTGCCCCTTTGCGAAGGCCTCTCCGGGTCTGTAAACTGTGCCCGGGGGGAGGGGGAGCCAGTGGGTGAAACCTGGCTGGAAGCCAAACCCTTTCCACTTACTCACCAGCCACACCAGTAACTCTGGGCCTTGCAGCACCTTGAAGGGGAAAAATGGGCGAAGGCCTGAGAGGCCTGGTCTGAGTTTCCTCAGCTCCCTGCATGTGCTCTGGGCCATCCTGCTTACCACTGCCGTGGATTCTAGATGTGAGGCCTGGGCTGGAGTGTGGGATGCTCCCAAAGGCCCCCAAATTCTTTTGATTCTTCCACTCTTGCCCCCCTCGCCTCGCCT